GTGTTATGAGATGTATATGAGAGTGTATATAAGTGTATATGAGAGTGTATATAGGTATGAGTGTGTATATGAGAGTGTATATGTGTATATGAGAGTGTATATGAGAGTGTATATGAGTGTGTATATGAGAGTGTATATTAGTGTATGAGTTATATGAGAGTGTATATGAGGTGTATATGAGAGTGTATATGAGTGTGTATATGAGAGGTATATGTGTATATGGTGTATATGAGTGTATATGAGGTGTATATGTGTGTATATGAGAGTGTATATGTGTGTATATGAGTGTATATGAGTGTGTATATTAGAGTGTATATGAGTGTATATGGGTGTATATGAGTGTATATTAGAGTGTATATGAGAGTGTATATGAGGTGTATATGAGTGTATATGAGTGTATATGATGTGTATGAGGGTATATGAGGTGTATGATTGTGTATATGATGGTTGGTGTGTATATGAGGTATGGAGTGTATATGAGTGTGTATATGAGAGTGTATATAGAGTGTATTGAGTGTGTATATGAGAGTGTATATGAGTGTGTATATGAGAGTGTATATGAGTGTGTATATGGTGTATATGAGTGTATATGAGGAGTGTGTATGGTGTAGAGTGTATATGAGTGTGTATATTAGAGTGTATATGAGTGTGTATATGAGAGTGTATATGAGAGTGTATATAGAGAGTGTATATGAGAGGTGTATATGAGAGTGTATATAGAGTGTATATATGAGTGTATATGAGTGTATATGAGAGTGTATATGAGTGTGTATATGAGAGTGTATATGAGTGTATATGATGTGTATATGAGAGTTATATGGTGTATATGAGAGTGTATATGAGAGTGTATATGAGAGTGTATATGAGGTGTATATGAGAGTGTATATGAGTGTGTATATGAGTATATGAGTGTGTATATGAGTGTGTATATGAGAGTGTATATGAGTGTTATATGAGTGTATATATGAGAGTGTATGAGGAGTGTATATGAGGTGTATATGAGAGTGTATATGAGTGTATAAGAGATGAGGTGTATATGAGAGTGTATATGAGAGTGTTATATGAGAGTGTATATGAGTGTATGTGTATATGAGAGTGTATGAGAGTGTATATTAGAGTGTATATGAGTGTGTATATGAGAGTGTATATGAGAGTGTATATGAGAGTGTATATGAGTGTTATATAAGATTGTATATGAGTGTGTATATGAGAGTGTATATGAGTGTGTATATGAGAGTGTATATGATTGTGTATATGAGTGTATATGAGAGTGTATGATGGAGTGTATATGAGAGTGTATAGAGTGTGTATATTAGAGTGTATATGAGGTGTATATGAGAGTGTATATGAGAGTGTATGTGTATATGAGAGTGTATATGAGTGTGTATATGAGAGTGTATATGAGAGTGTATATGAGTGTATATGAGAGTGTATAAGGAGTGTATATGAGAGTGTATATGAGTGTGTATATGAGAGTGTATGAGTGTGTATATGAGTGTATATAGTTATGAGAGTGTATATGAGTGTGTATATGAGAGTGTATAAGGTGTATATGAGTGTGTGTATATGAGAGTATATGAGAGTGTATGAGTGTATAGAGTGTATATGAGAGTGTATATGAGTGTGTATATGAGAGTGTATATATGAGAGTGTATAAGGAGTGTATATGAGAGTGTATAAGTTATGAGAGTGTATATGAGGTGTATATGAGTGTGTATATGAGAGTGTATATGAGTGTGTATATGAGAGTGTATATGATATGTATATGAGTGTGTATATGAGAGTGTATATGAGTGTGTATATGAAGTGTATATGAGTGTATATGAGAGTGTATATGAGTGTGTATATGAGAGTGTATATGAGTGTATATGAGAGTGTATGAGGTGTATATGAGTGTGTATATGAGAGTGTATATGAGTGTGTATATGAGTGTATATGAGTGTGTATATGAGTGTGTATATTAGAGTGTGTATAGGTGTATATGAGTGTGTATATGAGAGTGTATTAGAGTGTATATAAGTGTGTATATAGTGTATGAGAGTGTATATGAGTGTGTATATGAGAGTGTATATGAGAGTGTATAAGAGTGTGTATATGAGAGTGTATATATGTAGAGTGTATATGAGTGTGTATATGAGAGTGTTGGTGTATAAGGGTGTATATGAGGTTATATGAGTGTATATGAGGTGTATATATGAGGTGTATATGAGAGTGTATATGAGTGTATATGAAGTGTATATATGTGTATATGAGAGTGTATATGAGGTGTATATGAGTGTGTATGAGAGTGTATATGAGTGTATATATGAGAGTGTATATGAGAGTGTATATGAGTGTATATGAGGAGTGTATATGAGAGTGTATATATGAGAGTGTATGAGAGTGTATATGAGTGTGTATATGAGAGTGTATATGAGAGTGTATATATGAGAGTGTATAGTGTATATGAGTGTGTATATGAGGTGTATATGAGTGTATAAGAGTGTATATAGAGGTGTATATGAGTGTGTATATGAGAGTGTATGAGAGTGTATATGAGTGTATAAGAGTGTATATGGAGTGTATATGAGTGTATATGAGTGTATATGGAGTGTAAAGGTAGTGTATATGAGTGTATATATGAGTTGTATATGAGTGTGTATATGAGTGTGTATATGAGTGTGTATATGAGAGTGTATATGAGAGTGTATATGAGAGTGTATATGAGTGTGTATATGAGAGTGTATATGAGAGTGTATGAGTGTGTATATGAGTGTGTATATATGTATATGAGAGTGTATGTAGTGTATGAGTGTATATGAGTGTATATGAGAGTGTATATGAGAGTGTATATATGAGAGTGTATATGAGAGTGTATATGAGAGTGTATATGAGAGTGTATATGAAGTGTATATGAGAGTGTATGTAGTGTGTATATGAGTGTGTATGAGAGTGTATATGAGGAGTGTATATGAGAGTGTATATGAGAGTGTATATGAGAGTGTATATATGAGAGTGTATATGAGAGTGTCTATGAGAGTGTATGTGAGTGTGTATATGAGTGTGTATATGAGAGTGTATATGAGAGTGTATATATGAGAGTGTATATGAGAGTGTATATGAGAGTGTATATATGAGAGTGTATATGAGAGTGTATATGAGAGTGTATGTGAGTGTGTATATGAGTGTATATGAGAGTGTATATGAGAGTGTATATATGAGAGTGTATATGAGAGTGTATATGAGAGTGTATATGAGAGTGTATATGAGAGTGTATATGAGAGTGTATATGAGAGTGTATATGAGAGTGTATATGAGTGTGTATATGAGGAGTGTATGTGAGTGTATATGAGGTGTATGGAGAGTGTATATGAGAGTGTATATGAGAGTGTATATGAGTGTATGTGAGTGTATGTGAGTGTGTATATGAGAGTGTATATGAGAGTGTATATATGAGAGTGTATATGAGAGTGTATATGAGAGTGTATATATGAGAGTGTATATGAGAGTGTCTATGAGAGTGTATGTGAGTGTGCATGTGTGTGCCCTGTGATTGTCAGCTAATGTATACAGGAAACCGAATATGGCATTAGCTCACAGCCTGCACATTATAAACAACAACTGAAGCCGTTATCTAACTTGAGGCGATGCAGAGCTGAAATAAAACAAGCAAACAAAAAGCATGGACACATGAGTCAATATAAAAGACAATACTGAATTAGAAATCACGGAGGGAAAAATAAAGTGGGGGATCACTGGATACTGAGTGTAGTAGAAAAGCTAAGCAATACAAAAGGTAAACTGTAAAGGTAAGCTAAGTGTGTTGCTGAGGGAAAATAGAGGAATTGAGAGAATATCAGAGAATACTGAGAGAAATAGAGGATGGTTTGTAGCCCTAGAACAGCAGGTTTTGATTGTGGTGCTGAGAGAAGCAATGGATAAGCGAGACTCTCGCATGTAGAGAATGTGCAGCCCTGAGCAGAGGTTCACATTATCCTCCATTACAGTGCACATTAGTTTCAGCTTCCCTCTCAGCCATTCACTCTTAAAGGTCATGCCAGGAAGTGCCAGCACCTGAAAAGTCATGTTGGCTCTGATAGGAGCATGTGCTTGATTAGAGCTCCAGTCTCATGAGGCTTGAACAGAGCGACAGCTGATGGTGAGACAGGGAACTCGGTTGGGGGTGTGTGTGAAAAGGGGAGGAATTGTGTGGATGGAAGACTGAGGGCAAATAGCTCCAGGTGAGACAGGGAGATAAGGGAGAGACAGCGAACTACCGGTGAAACATGAAGCTAGAGTTGAAACAGGGTGCTTGTGGGTGAGGTTGAGGGGGTCGCAAGGAGCCTTGAGTGAGTCAGGGAGCTAAGATGAGACAGAGAACCAAGCGTAAAGTCAATGTCAATGAACCTGGAAGTGCTGCATGCTCCAGCGCTCTGCGTCAGGGGAAGTCTCTGACAGGTGAGACAGGGGGCAGATGATTAGATAGGGAACTGAGGATAAGACAGGATGCTGTGAGGAGATATAAAGGTAAGTCAGGGGTTGAGCATGGGCATGAGGACAGGAATGAGATCAGGGTGAGCAAAAAGCGAGAGTGAGACAGGGAAGCTACAGTAAGGTGAGACACAGGCGTGAGAGGAATGGAAGCTAAAGGAGCTGAGATTGAGACAGGGACGTGAGGATGATCAGGGAGTTGAGAGTAAGACCGTGAGCCGAGGGCGAGACTGAAAGAAGGACAAGCGGATTGGGAGCCAACTGGATCCCAGTCTCAACCAGATGTCTTGTGAAGCTTTCTTAAAAAAATAAAAAAATAAATAGTGTTATTCCTATCTATGTTTGTAATTTGTTTTGTCTGTTCATCCTGAAAATATATATATTTGTTGTTTGGGCAAATTTAAGTGGGAGGGTTTTCTAGATAAGGCGTTAAAGCTACAATACACAGTAACTCGCTATCGACACAGGGCCATTGTGTGGCGAGAATCGTCTCAAGCCAATACACATATTCCATTTAACAGTTTGTTCACGTCATGGTGGCTTAGCGGTTAGAACATTTGTCTTGCACCTCCAGGGTTGGGGTTCAAGTCCCACCCTTACACGCTCTCCCCGTGCCTCAAGAGCTTCCTTCAGATACTCCAGTTTCCTCCCCCTGCCCAAAGACATGTGTTGTAGGCTCACATTTCCAAATTGTCTCTAGTGTGTGATTGTGCCCTGTGATGAGCTGGCATCCCATCTAGGGTGTCCCCTGCCCTGTGCCCCGAGCTCACTGGGATACGCTCCAGGCTCCCCTGCAGCGCCGTGTAGGATAAGCGGCATGCAAAACGGATGGCTGGGTTTTCGCTGTGCTGATATGATTCACCACAAGTTACATCACAATGTCAGCACACTTCTATACTTGCAAGCATTACAATTATGACTCAATTAAAAATGACTCGTAATTATCATACAGTATTCGCCAGATACAGCATCACTGCTGCATTGCTCCATCCACCCCCAATAATAATCACTGCACCTCTGCACTGACCTCTTATGGTGGTCCCTGTTTATGGATGGACGGCTAAAAAAAAACACTGTATTCCTACAAAGTGCCCCTATTTGGCAGGTTTTAGCTGACAGAGGGGTGTATGTGTGTAGTTACACAGCCCCAAAATGGCACCTCATTGTATGACATACACTACCATTAACATTCTAATATTTCCCTTTATTATAAACACATTACAAATAGGAATGTGCAGTCCTGATCATTTTCTCCTGTTCTGTGTCTGCTGCTCACGGAAATTTCTACTGAGATGCTGTAGTCGTCAATTTTTACTGTCAATCACAGCCGAGACACACTTCTGCGTTATCTAGTGGCATGTGTGTGGTGCTTTCTGTAATGTCGCGGCCAATATTGTGCAGGATCGCTATTTATTTAGAGAAATTCCTTCATCGCAGGAGGAGGCCCGGCAGTTGCTTAGCAACAACAGTATTATTTTTGGAGTGTGTGATTAATATTAAGTGTCCTTTGAATAGCGCCACAAACACACGCTTTTGTGTGTGTGTGTGTGTGTGTGTGTGTGTGCATATGCCTGTGCGTTGTCATCTCTTAACTTCCTTAGAGAGGTAATAGAGACTCGACTCGTTTACTTTAATTGAATTTTAATTTGATTTAAATCAAACAAGCGCGGCGGCGCATGCGGGCGGGCGAGAGTTTCCTGTGACCTCCCTCCTCCGCTCTCCTGTTTCCATTTCGTCGACTCGTGCTCTCTCGCCTTCCCCATGACTCACGTTTCGCTGCCAGCAAATGGCTCCTGCTTGAGTTCCTTCTCTGTTTTCTTTCTTTTTGGATCCTCAAACATGTCTCTTCTCTCCTTCCTGTCGTTCCTTCCTTCCCCATTCGTTCCTTTCGGTGCTATTTCTTCTCTGCTGTCGATTCGGTGTGGTTCTCAGTTCGTCTGATGGTTTCTCTCGGCAGAATACCGCTGCAGGCCTGTTGCAGTATGTGATACACTTTGTTGATTCTGCATGTATAAAAATCCTCTTCCGCATACCGAGAGCTTCTGAAAACCATTAAAAAACTCGAATGATTTCGCGTGGAATAGATCCTGGCGTGTGAAAGATAGCAGGAAGGAGCCAGTGTGCAGATAGACACAGGACTGCAGAAATGTTCACGTCTACATTTATTCTTTTGGCAGATGTTTTTATCCAAAGTTCCACACAAATAAGGCAAAACACAACCCAAGCATACAGCTGATGGTTAAGGGTCTTACCCAAGCGCCCAATAGTGAATGTCTGGCTGAACTCGGATTTGAACTTACATCGGGCAGAGAACCAAATTGGCTGATTTTCTTTTCTTCTTCCCCTTCTTGTCCCTTCACTACATGTTGTTAAATTGTTCCATTTCACTGGTTGTCCAGGGTGTTGGTAAAAACAAGTCTCCTAGGAGATTGACATTTATATCGTGCACTTTAATCTTTGAGCTATCTGTAGACAAAGAAAAATAACAGCCAAAGTCAACAGCAAAAAATAAATAAAATAAAAATAGGGGTCATGTTTACCTGTGCCCTTCTCATCATGATGATTTTATCTGATTAATAGAACACCAGCGAGTAAATTACAGACATTGTCTGCCACTGAAAGTATATTTTACATTTGACGGGATGTGATGTTAGCTCTGAACCACCCAGGTAAAGGTAGGATCACCGGCTTACTGATATATAAGGTATTTTATTTATAATAGTCATAAAATGCAGTTCTCACGTCTTCTGAATGAAGATGCACCAGTCTCTCTGCTACCCCCAGACTCCATTAACAGGAGAAAGTGGGGGGAAAAAAAAATCAGCAAATGATATAGACCAGAAACATCCAGTCAATTAGGACAAGCTGATGTCTCTACTTGCCTGTCAATCATGGTGGATTTAGAGAGCTGCACCAGAGTATTGCACCAGCCTTCAGGAGGTCTCACTTTAATAGAGACGTACACATGTTTTAGGAGGCGTGACAATTACAGGGAACACTGAAGGAATGGGTTGGATTTACAAAAGCACTGACTTTTTAAATACACCGACGTTTACGTTTGTAAATGTACATCCTTAGTGTTTCTGAACGCGATGCGACCGCCGAGACCCATTATAGCAACGTCATGCTTTTATTGTTTGTTTTTAAACATGATGATGATGAGAATAACGCCTACTGGAGAAATATTTTAGACTCTTGCTTCATTAAACTCTCAGTCTTAAGTAAGTAGCGTATAGCGTTACAGTGTCATCCATCACCACTAATCGCTAAGCTAGTTAGCATCTCGGCTTTGTAGAGGATTACCAAATGTAAAGGGAAGGTTCGTATCGATAATATTGATATCTCCGCTCCTTAGTAAGCTGCTTCTTTTTTGCACTTTTCGGTCAAAACGGCTTGAAAGGCACACGCGGTCTGGAGAAATCTCAGGCTGGAGGATAAGGAAGGAAACCAAACAGCATTTCTTTGTGGGTTATTTTGGTCTCGTGGATGGGGAAGGGGAAATATATAACGGAGAATAATTGTGTACCTCTAAAGTGTATGTACTGCGTATGGTACCTGATGACAGCTGGGTGCACCTAATAAACCAGCAGCGCAGTGCATATGAACGTACGAACGTACACATATCCGAGCATTAAACCAGCTGTGTGCGTTTATTACTAGCGTTATATTTATCCTTGGCTTTCAAGCATACGTATAGGGATGTGCAGTTTCTAATCATTTTGTTGAATGTTTGCGATCTAGGTTTCTTGCTCACAGTATTTACTGGAACACAATGGCAGTCTATCGTCCTGTCAATCACAGCTGAGACACACTCCTGCATGATCTAGTACAGTATGTGTCTCTTTCCATAATGTTCTGGCCAATATCGTTCACTATTTCTATCCATCCATCCATCTCCTTATACACAGGAATCAGGAGTCGATCCCAGGTGACTCGGAGCACAAGGTGAGGTATACACCCTGGACGGCGTGCCAACACATCGCCATCGGGCAAACAATACACACACACACACACACACACACACACACACACACACACACACACACACACACACACGTTACGGACAATTTAGAGATGTCGATCCGTCTACAGTGCATGTCTTTGGACTGGGGGAGGAAACCGGAGCACACGGAGGAAACCCCTGAAGCACGGGGAGAACATGCGAACTCCGCACACACGGTGTAGAGGTGGGAATCAATCCCCCGACCCTGGAGGTGCGATTCGAACGCGCTAGAGACTACACCACTGTGTCTGTTCACTATGTGTGATCACTAGGTATTTGCAGAACTGGAGCATTTTAGTAAGAAATTCTTGTTAAAGTGAGTATCTCGGTATTTACTAGGCTTATCAATCAGCATTTCTTACCAGGATATTAATATGTAATATTCATATTAACCAACATTCTTGCACAGTACAATAAGGGTAGGGGTGATACATACTGGGATTATATGATATGCTTGTGTTGAGTGCTGCAAATATTAATATCTGTATCTGTATTCGGATTTAAGTCATTTTTTATTGACCCGATGGTCCTGGAAACACTGTGGGTGGGTGGGTGGCGAAGTGGGGGGGCTAATGGGTAGAACAAAGGTAGAAATGACATCGGAGTCAGCTTAGGTGTTAGAGTTATTATTTTTCTTTACACTTGCCTGTGATAGTTTCTCATGAATTTAGTTGGGTCTATTTCTTTTTAAAAAATAAATAAATAAATAGACCAGTGACCCTGACCAGATAAAACCGCTTCATGTTTATTTTAATGAACGGAGTCTTCGTCCTGTGAGCGTGAAACTCGCACCCATCATACTCCTCATACCTTCAGTCCTACACCCACATCGTATGGAAGTAAATACCTTAAATAGACGCCCTTTCTGGCAAGCTTTCGGGGAAGAAAGAAAGAATTTCGTATTCATTTAGAACACGTCGTCCGCTCAATCCGAATAATGTATCCGTGTTCGGTTACATCCCTTTTATACACAATACGTGTATAATATATTTGTCCTCGGTGACAATCTGAATGCAAGTTTGGCAAACCGATTGTGTGTGTGTGTTTGTTTTTGTGTGTGTGTGTGTGTGTGTGTGTGTGCACGCACGCGCAACAGCAAGCTCTCCCTGGCGGCCGCTAATAATGCTATGATGGGTTCAGCCAAAGCTCATTCTCTCCATCATTCAACTCCAAAAAATGACTTATCTCCAACGTTCATTTTTCATTCCTTAACACCAAGGCACAGCGTGCAAAGTTTATTATATAACGCTAGTCTATTACCCACACAGCAATAAATGTTCAGGTTTTAACCAGAGAGTTCTGTGGCACAGAGAGAGAGAGAGAGAGAGAGAGAGATAGAGAGAGTACTCATACCAGCATTATACAGCTGACAAGAAGCACTCTTCTTTCATACGACTCTGAATGTCCTGGTGTATGAGTCAGGGCAGAGCCACACCAATTATTTGCTAATTCTGTCGTGCTTCTTCTCCCTCCACTGTCTCTTCGTAGCTCTTTCTCTCTCTGTAATCCATTGCTCTGTGTAATTAGATGTCACCGGGAGCTTACACCTATTCTTATCTGAGGTAGAGAGAGTTTGTGTGTGTGTGTGTGTGTGTGTG